ATCACCGGAAGCTGAGGATAAACATCCCTAAGCTCTACTCCCTAAGCTCTACTTCCTTCTCATAAGGTGGGTGTCTTTTTGCTGAATCCGTATGTGAGAAAGGTGTACTAACTTCTGCCATTAGTTTTTCTAACACTACTTTAGTTAAAGGATTACTATTTTTTCCCCTATATCAACCCTTTTATATTCCTTTATTGTGAACTATTTTAGACTGTATAGCCTATGGCTTCCCCCCTCTAATTATTAATATAAACCTAACAACTCCAAAAAAAAAAAAATATATATTTTTTTTTATTTTTAAAAATCTATCAACCAAAATATGAATATGAAAAAATTCAATTAAATTTTTTATTCAAAAACCATTTATAATTAAAATAAAAAATCAATTAAAAAATCAATTAAAAATTTGGAAATAATTTAAAACCAATTTTTATTTCTATATGCTATCCTACAATTTATCAATTAGTGGCTATCTTACCACAACCCATCAGGAAAGTAAATGTAAGTTAGTCAACTTCAAAGCAATCCCAAAAACAAAGCCCTCTAATCCTACCATTACTACCATTCCCATAAACCCCCTTGCTCTATCAGCACCTAATTATGTTTATTTTACAGAATAATGTCAGTCCTTGATTCCCAACACAACTCCAATCAACCCCAGTGATGCACATAGCCTCCAAAATGCAATTTTATTCAAATGAGTATTTGCCAAGCCTATGTGAAATTGTCATAACATCACATATTTTGTGAACTAGCCTGATATCTGATCCGATCCTCTGCCGCGTCACGTGATGTCACGTCAGCACTTCCTGTATCTCCTCTCTCTCTCTCGTCTCGTTCCATGTTCCTCTCATATTTCAAAAAAACATAGAAACAGACAAGATTTCAGCAGTTTATGCAATACTGAGTTATTTCAACCATATTCAATATTCGTTCAGTCACAATTCAGGACTAAATAGATCGCTCAAAAACATTTTTATTTTATTTTAATCCGTCATTTAATTTAATTCATTATACTCCGTCAACATATATTCAATTTATAAATTCACTACATCTCAACAAATAGTTTCATGTTCGAACAACAGCCGTTTAACAACTAGGAGATTCTTTCCCAAATCTCTCTTTTCTGTGGCTATTTTTCCCCCTGCAGGGTAACCCCAGATGGGACCTATGACCCTTACCCATAATGCCGTGTTTGTAGTTTTAGCACATAACCGCATGTCGTAGTTTTAGCGCCGTAAAATCATGCGCATGCGCACATCCATTTTAACCCCATGCTTGCCACACCATAGAACGATAGCATTACGCTACAGCTTCACTATTTTATACCTTATACTCACACAATTACACATAACAGAGCTCACATTTGCGTAGAACTTTGACTTCCACACACACAGACATATTTTAAGAGACTTTAATCCATCGCAATGGGGTCTCTAAGGATACGTTAGCATGTAGCACACAACACAATTAGCATTAGCCGCCATGTACCATGTAGCATGAAACACACTCCCATTTAGCATTAACATTAGCCTTAGCCTTTAGCTAACTGCGGCCTACCCAGCCCTAAGTAACCTGCACCGTGGCCAAATCAATGTCCAATTATCCCCGTCTAACTTTATGCTGCCGTAAGTTCTGGATAATCATAGAGAGGTTATCCCACACATATACTTCGTCAACTATAAGATGAGCATAACATACATATAATCCGTCCAGCTTATAATTCCCAGAATCAACCTTACCCCACCGAACGCGTTGCAAGGATTTTATGGCCCATTCCTAAAGAATCGCCTCGCTTCGAGGTCTTTACCAGATTCACGGTGCCCTAAATATGCATACATATTCCAGCCTTTATTCTCTACCAATCCATTTGTTCTAGACTTTACCGTTTACACATCAACCAAATTTAGAATATTTTACTTCAGCCTCCTAGTCAACAGCAATAACGCCACCCGAGGCACGGTCGTAATGGTACATCTCTCCAGTGTACACAAGTCGTATCCAATCTAACAAGCTCCGAAGCGGTAAGAAAAACTCACCCTTGTCTGGCCATGCTTCAAAGCGAGTTAGCCTGGCGGCTGCCTGAAACAAAGGAGAGGTGCAGACCAGCCCCACGTTGGGCGCCATTTGTCGTATCGAGTGAGTGGTGGCAATTATTGCTGATAAACAAAGGAGTCCGCTCATACTGAATCCTTGATCATAAGTTTATTCAGATCCCAAGCTTCAGCATAAGTGACAGGTGACATGACACCCGGAGAACGGTGCCTCAGATTGGAATGGCCGTTCTGCCCTTTCTGTAGTCTAGCCCCTATTTATAAACAATGCAAAAAGATGCTCCCTCTTCTGGCCAATCACCAGTCTCCCCTGTCTACAACACACTTCCTGTCTGTTGTATGTGGCGTTACACTAAAACATTCCCTCTTGATACTAAAATCAACATTCTTTCAGTTCCACTTAAAAAACATTTAACACCATGATAATCTCAATACACTACAAGGTCACTCTAGCTAATGTTCCTGTTTCATCTGACAAGTCCCCAGCATGTGGAAAGACACCAGATAATCCTAGGAGACCAGAAATGATTGAGGTAAAGCACATTGGAGAGTGGTGCGTCGTTAATTATGACAATGAAGCATACCCAGGTATCATCATGGATGCAGAAGGGCACAGTGTGAAAGTTAAGTGTATGCAACGCCATGGCATAAACAAGTTCAAATGGCCAAGTCTTCGGGACGACATCTGTTGGTACCATGACTGGCAGGTACTTTGCCTAATACCAGAACCACAGGCTCTGAACAAGCGCTCTGTACAGATTGAAGTGTCTGCATGGAAGTATGTGGAACAGCAACTGCAGAACTGAGCCATGTCTCTGCAGAAAGGGAGAGACTGTTTGGAGATGCGTCCAAGTGATCTTTCTGTAATATTCTGTTTTTTCAAATCAACTGTTCTCCACTTAAAAAACATTTTTCTTCTTGTTCTACAGTTGAATGTTTGACTTTCACTGTGCAGAATGATGTACAGAGTTTAACGCTAGAAGGCCACATTAATGTCTCATTTTGGGCATCTTTATTCAGTGGCTGCATGCAGGTAGAGTGGATCAAAAACAGTCTGTTCAACTTGTAATTTCCCCCTACATGGGAAAAGGCATTTTTTACATCATTTTCTTGCATTGTTCCTTGCATTTATGAGGCCATTCAATGACATTTCACAACGTGTCCACCCTGTCATGCCCAGGGTCCACCCTGTCATGTCACTGTCCACCCTGTTATTTTCATGTTCTATGAAAATAAACAAATTATTTTCACAAGTTAGCAAAATCTTTTGTGTGATTCCTTTATAAACAAATGAGGGCCAAATAGTATTGTTTGAAAGTTTGACCAGATATCTTTTTTGTTAGATTTTATTTAGAAAAGAAAGTGCAACTCTCGCAGATTTTATAGAGAAACAAATAGTTTGCCATAATTTCATTATTATCCAAATACTTTTCCCATAAACTAAAATATATTGTTGAGAAAGTGACTAAATAGTTTTCTGAAAATGTATGTTTTATAATCACTATGTAATTACAATGTATTTATTCTGCTTTGAAATTGTCCATGACAGGGTGGACATATTTTGCTGTTTGCATGTAAATTGTCTGCTTGCAGTTAATTTATAAAAAGTGTGGGAGCTTGACCAATATGCATTTCTAACAGCATAACATATACTTAATACAATGAATATGAAGTTCAATGGAAAATCTCAGCTTTTTGGGGGGGAAATGGGGAAGTCTCAAAGGCACCTTATGGTGATATTGACCCAGCAGTCATTTAAAACCAACAAATCGTAAGAAAAATTGTTATTTCTTCATAAAGAAATGTCTTCTGGAGGTTTAAATTTGCAGCCATGATGAATTTTTACTTAAATCAAATTAACATTCTTAATGACCTTTCTTTGCTATTCTGTCTTCTTCTCAGGATATACATTGGGAGACATCTCAGCACATACAGCACCTACTGAAGCTGACGCTGCATTCTGACACCGGTCACACCTGCTGTGACTCAATACAGCTGGCATGCCTTCAAATGGGACGACTTCGGAATCAAGGGAGAAGGGGTTGATGTTGCATTCTCCATTTTAGCTGATTGCCTCAAATCTTATCTTCTAAACCTTGGTGAATGCTGTGTACTGCTTCTTTCTCCCAGAAATGCCTTGAATCAGGAACTGCTTTGTGCTGCCTTGTTCCTCTCACTATTTAGAATGTTGTTTTATATGGCTGCCAATCTGCATTCTTGTTTATCTCATTTTCTTTTGCATATCGAGTTTTTGGTTTACCTGATTGTTATGCTCAAGGGAATGATTAATGTGAATGAATATTAATTGTGAAATAATTTCCTGCACTAATTTTCTTTGAATAAAGCTGAGGTTGTGAATCAATTCCGTGCAACATGTGAAAGGAATAATACGGCATGCAATTTGCAAGACTGTTTAAACTATTTGAGCAGTCATGGTGAAAAAAAAATATTTTTTCTTCTCATTATACAGTATGTTCCACAGATAAAACCAAACACTGTAAATGTTTTATTTGGTTACAACTTATTTTATTCTTATGTCAGCTGGTGCTTACTATATCTGGTATCTACAACATATGGTAAGAAGTGGTACTTTCAGGTATCCCAAAACATTGCCTAGTGCCACATCTGCAGTGATGCTTGTTTCAAAGCTTCCCAAAGACACAAACATGTTATGTAATTACCACACAGTTTTAAAGTAAATACCAGCTAAATACACTGAAATAAGATGGTCATACAAAAATTGGAGACATTGTTATAGACATTCATATAATAAAGAACTTGATCGTTTCACTACTTACATTGTACTTTTTCAGCACTCATTTACATTTGTTATTTAGCAGACGCTCTTATCCAGAGTGACTTACATGAGCATTTAGGGTTAAGTGCCTTGCTCAAGGGCACAGACAGATTTTTCACATAGTCTCGGGATTCAAACCAGCAACGTTCTTAACCGCTAGGCTACCTACCGCATTTGAAATCAATTCCCTCATTTTCTTTGAACACTGCAACTTACTGAATAGACATCTACAGTATGCCATCGGACTCATTTTATATTTTTAAATGAATGGAGGCATAATACAGATGAACATGATTCGATTTTATTTAACTTTGGTCAACATAAACAAGCGAATACATTGCCACCATGTTAAGAATGATTCAATAGAGAAATGCTTTATTACCAGTGTTCCTGTTTTGAATGTAATCAGTACGTTTGTCGATTCAACCTTCATTTTTGCATTGATTACTTGGAAAACAAAGTATGCAGTTTTGATTTTAGTGGCATCCCACTAAATGATTTAAGGGCACATGTAAGAGGCTTGTCTGAATGTCCTCTTACTACACGAATAACCATCAACTTTCCATGTTTCGGAGGCACTCTGTATATCAATAGGTCTGTATGGTGTGCAGTACTCTTCCTCTGGCTAATTATTTACCTGGTGTTTTCACAGACAGCCACAAATAGCAGCAGTAATGAGAAATCTATAAAATAGAATTTAAAAATAATGCACATAAGGTTTGTAAAACATTTGGGGACATAACCAGTAGCTGTCATTGATAGACGTAGGTATTAAGGCTGCAGATTCCCTTTGTCTTGCGTCTCCTCCCATGAAGTTTCCAGCCTGTATCTTAAATGAGAACAACACTGAAATAAATATCTCTACACTTGCACATGATCTGTCTCAAATGGTGGTTCTAAAACTTCAGAGTAGTTCCTTTGGAGATAGCTTGAGAGAACTACTCAAAAGACCGCAGTGTAACAAATTCTTTCCCCACCTCTACAACATAAAAACATGCAAAGCAATTAAGAACATGATTTAATACAGTTTTAAATATTAAAACACATAGCTGTAGTTTTAGTTACTTTTATTAAGTGGATGACACCATAAAGGTGTACTTGAATAGATACAGTCAGTGAGATTACCATGTCTGGGGGATAAATTGGGGATAGGAGGGAGTGGGTGGAGAAAAGGTCCACTTTCCAAATTCACGACCTGTTGCAAGTGCTTTGGCCTGAATGCATGGTCAATGGGGGAATGTTAACAGGTAGGCCTAAAACCCACAAAATATCATGTTTCAGAAAGGCCCAAAAGGGGGTGTTATAACAATGACAAGGGGTCATTTTCAGGGCTTTCCATAGTTTGGTTGTTAGATTATGAAATGAAGGCTGAAAATGTCAACACAAACACCAATGTTCAAGAGTTTGACCTCTTGGGAGTGCCGTTCCACTCATTCAACGTAAGGTGGGCTCTCAGGGTCCGATCAATGCCCTGGCACCGATTCACCCAAGGCAAAATCAACCTCCGACTCAAAATAAAACAGGCAGACCAATCAACCTCCTGCAGCAACAAAAGGAGAAAAGTGCCTTCAACTTCACCAGGAGGACGATAGGGCTGTTAGTTTCTGTTACAGATAAACCACTAGGCTTAACTACGCAGGAACAGTAAAGCCTTGTCCTCAGGATGGAGCCCAATTCTTTTTTTAGTTGATCTTATCCTGGAAAATGTACAGGTTGTTGGTGGCCGCCACAGCGATTACATTTTCTTTGGGGTGCCAGGCGGTGTGCAGGATCTTCTTGTTGAAGTCCAGGCTGTCCACGCTGATTTCGTCTTTCTTCCTCTTGCCACCGGTGGAGACTTTGCGGGGTTTGAGTGTGCCACGCGGTTTGCTGCTCTCCCTGGAGGCCTCCAGTGTAATGTCCTTCCTGGTGTTGCGGTCAAACATCCGGAAGAAGTTGTTGTAGGAGCCAGTCATGATGGCACTGAGAAATGAAAGAAACAGTGGATCATTTATAATTAAACTTACAAAGAACAACATAGTAGTTGCAGATTGCCTTAAACAGAGAAAGGGTTTCTTACCTGTCGCTACCGTTCCAGCAGCACTCAAACTTGTCGAAGATGCAGTCATTTTCATACAATGAGCAGAGCTTGCTGCGAAGGTATTCGTGAACCTGGACGGGAGAACATTGATTAGTGTAAAAGGAAAATAATTGCATCTTTCCAACTATTTCTATACACCTAACTTGATAATTGTGGGTAAGCAGACCACACTGAAAATGATGTTAGTTGTAGTGTTATCACTAAGAAGAGCAAGGTAGGTACCTGATAGTGATTGGGCAAAAAATGAATAGTTACATATCGTGATATTTTTTTGTTGACAATATCTAATATCGTATCGAAAATATCGCAACTTTATTTTTGCGCTAGTTGGCTGTACCTGCACCAAAACTCCAGTATCTTTCCTTCATAGCCTGTTCTTCATCTTATTTTTAAATAGGGAATACATTTTTTTGCAGTTTTGCACCATCACTGACCAAAACTAATTTTTTCATGGCTCTCTCGTCTCTATGCAGCAGAACATCGAATCGCAATACATATAGAATCGTGAGAACTGCAATACATATCGTATCAGCACCTAAGTATTGTGATATTGTATCGTGAGGTCCCTGACACTTCCCAGCCCTAGTACCTGATATGTCTCGACTGGCCTGTTCTCCATGTTGAGGTCCCACACCTTGACGGAGAGGTAGTCCCGTGTCATCATGTAGCGCCCGCTGTGACTGAACTTCACGTCAGAGATGGACGAGATGATCTCAGAGAAGAACGACCTGCTGCTTGGATCCTCAGGCTCCTCAAAGACTAAAATCACAAACATGGAGAGAGATACTCAAAATGACAGAAAATCTAAGCTCATTTATCTGTGAATGAACATCCTTTAGAATGCAGAGAATAAGCCTCTATGGATACTCACACTTAGTGTGCCTATCGCAGAGTGCTGCTGCTCGCATGTCACAGAGGCGTATGGTGCCTTTGCTACTGCTGTACACAAATACATTGCATTGGTTTGGCTGGCACTCAGCAGCTGTGATCACCTCTGTCAGTTCCTCCATGTTAGCAGGCTTGATGTCTACAATGTCTGAGAACACACTGTTAAGGAAATTAACTGAAATGAGTCTAAAGGCTCATATAGGCTAACAGGGTAGTTCGGACAAAGCAAACATTTGCATCTAAAAGTCATGACGCTGAAGACTTCAGGACTGCTAACTTTTCAGACAAAGGATACTAAAGCTTCTGTCAGTGATTTCCAAGTGCCATAGGTTAATTCTTAGGTCATCAGCGGAGATGTACGTTTGATGATCGCTATTTACAGAAATTGAATTAATATGATACGTGTGAGCGTTGGCAAACACCCTCCGAGAACTTGCTTCTACCATGAGATCCATGGGCATCAGCACTGGTACCTATAAACACAGGACAGATTTAGAGGTGGAAGCGATAAGCATGTTGAGTGTGTTTGTTATTGTATAGTGTTTGCTGAAATCTTAAAAGGTAAAGCAACATTAAACCAACCCGCAGGGAGGTAATTCTAAAGGGATCCCTGAGACGTCCATCTTCATCTTTCAAGTTGTAACCCTCAGCCCGCTTGTCTCGTTCACTGATTTTCCACAATTTGATCGTTTTATCTGTACAAAACAAAAATGTGTATGTTGAGGCTGAAGATAACCTAACAAAAAGCTTAGTAGGTTCAAGCAAAAATTTTCTTACCATTTGTTGATAGCAGAAAGTGAGCCGAGTTTTGTTGGGGTAACCATCTTATTTTGTTAATTTTTTCCTCAATTTCTAAACTTTTCAAGTAGTCAAATTCAGGTTCGTGACTCTGAAATGTGCTATAGACGTTGTATTCTCCTCGCAGGTGTGGCCGATTTTTACACTGAAAGAGAAAAGTAGATGTGCACTGCGTGTCAAACTTGGATATTAAACATGTTTTATGTTTAGAATTTCATCCTGTGCATTTCTTTCCATAACAACCTATCATAGCTGACGCCAAACTGTATGTCAGTAACCAGGTTTCCATCCAACCTTTTTATGCGAGTAAAGCACGACGGATAAAAAAATAACATAATTACAGGTCTGACGGAAACAGCAAATTTAGCGGTCAATTTTCCAAATGTCGACAAAACAAAATACGCTAGACAAGGTGGGATCTTTGTGTCGGTAAAATGTATTATGTGAGAAAAGGCGGTGGAAACGCTTTCATGCGAAAATACTAATATAGTAACCATCATATCGAAGTAGACTTGGGAGTCACGCAATGACATGTGTGGTCCTCCAAGTACGACTCAGAAAAGCATGCAGTTTATTAGGCTGCAGATGAAATAAGTTATGATTAACTTTACAGGGTGGTGAAAGTAAAAGGTGATGAGCTTGATGCTACTTTCCAATAAGTCTGCTGTTTGACAAATAAAAATAATCTTGCTCTTTTCATAATATTCTCATCATATAGCCTAGGCTATCCCGCATGGTATCTGCAAGCAGTAGAGCGTACGTGCCAATACCAGAGTGGGCACATTCGCTATAACGCACAATTTTTTGTGACAAAACCATCACTAGAGTTGAAAATGGGTTGGAAACCGGTGCATGGGAATTTAACCGCAAAAGTAATTTTTATGTGCACTGTCATCACGCACAGCCTTTTATCCGCAACAAGTCAATTTGATGGAATCTCTGGTGGGAAAATGCGGATTTAGAATATTTACATGAAAATATGTCGCCAATTGGATGGAAACTTAGCTACTGTTTATGAAAATAAATGTAGTTGGTAATTATAAAATTCACCTCCTGTTCATGTTGAAATATGACAACTCTGCCTCCCTTGTCTCCAGTTGCTAGAAACTCTCCAGAATGGTTGAATTCAACCGTTGAGATTATATCAGCTGAAAGGAGGACATTCTGGAGCATGATTAAGTGTATAAGGGTTGTCCTTATACAATAGATACACGTCAGCAAAAGGACAACACCTGGTAAAAAAAACAATCATGGTGCAACTTTCACGGGTGCACACTATGCAATGTAGTCGACAGAGCAGCTTGTGCATTTCTACCTCTGCATCCCTGAAAATAGTTGCTATATCAGTCAACCCAGGAAAATGACTTTGAAAGAATCAAACACACAAATGACTCCCTCCCTACTGCATCAGAATGTATGCCGCGTTCAAAACAACTGGGAACTCTGAAATCTCAGACTTCCGACTTCAGTGCGTTCAAGACAACAGGGAACTCAGGGAAAAAAACTAGCTCCGACTGGGAAAATCATTTTGAATGGTCATCCAACTCAGAATGCCAAGTCGGAAACTCTGGCATCTTTTTTAGAGCCCAGACTTTCCGACCTGAAGATCACGGACTTCATGATTTGACTTTGTTTTTTTTGTTCGAGTTCACAGTTGTCATGAAAGCACCATTTGCATTTACATTTTAGTCATTTAGCAGACGCTCTTATCCAGAGCGACTTACAGTTAGTGAGTGCATACATTATTTTTTTCATACACCAGTAGTTTATCATACAGATATGTGCTCACAAACAAAGTGAGGGAAACACTCTTTAAAACAACTCAGATATTACCCGTCCAACGAAAGTATTTGTAAATATATTATAACTATTTATGAGAAATGTACATTTTGTCAATCTGGGCCAGAATCACTTGGGCATTTGTATTTCCAATGTGTGTATGTGACTATGTTCTGGGTGGATCTTCGGCTGGGCTTGGGTAAAATATTTGGTAGGGACATCATCTGCAAGCTTGTGAGGTTCTTTTTGTTTTTTGATAATCCAAGATTCTCCAGTAACAAAAAATATGTGATTAATTTGATTATAATTATTGCTAAATATTACATCCCATAAAATGTATTTTTAAAATAAAAAAACATCCTATTCAATATTTTTCATGGTAGATTTAAATAATTACTTTACCACATTGAATCTTATGCTCTGTAACAATATGAAGGCAATGAAATCAATTGATACCCTAAGCTATTTAAATTTGTTTTAATGTAAAAACCCTGTATGTGTTTCTGTTTTTGTGTTTATCTGTTGGTGATGTTGTGTTACCATTTTTAAGAAGGATGTATAGATTTTTGTAACACATTTGAATTTGTATCCTTCAAAATTTATAGAATTTCAACAAGAAAAACAGAAACAAACGTATACTGCCATGTTCCCGACGCAGACCTTTGACGTCATTGACAAATCGCTCCCACTAGCTAGCTTAATAACTACGCTAGCAAGATGACTCGTTAGTTTACGACAGTACGTTTATCTTACTAGCCTACATAAATTACAATATTTAAGACGTACTCTGACTGCCTAATTCGTATTACATGTTACATACATGTGCGGGACATAAGTTACTGGGGACAGTTGTTTGGGTAGTTATAACGTTAGCCGACTGTAAGCAAGAGAAGCTAGCTAACGTTAGCTAGCTAGTTAGAAAAACAAACTCCGCGTTGCCCAGGAGTGCTGCTCATATACATGCACAGTGTCATCACTTCTTTGTTCTTGAAAAAATTGTCAGTCAAAGGCGTCGTTGGTGGAAGAATAAGTTAGCGCCTCAGTATCACATTTTAGCTCAAACACTTAACGGTCAGCTACCTACCTAACTTAGCTAGTTAGCAAGCTGTCATTAGCTAGTTACTCACCTTCCGCAACATCTTCATCTATTGCCCCCTTCACTTGTGAGAAACACCACTGAAAATCATTTCCACCGACAACTCCTGCATAACAACAATATTGGAATCATTAGCGCCAGTTCACCAACCGATTTAGAGTCAAATTATGTGTTGTCAGTAAACGCTAGCTAGCCAAGTTAAACTTGCATTCAGGCCACACAGCAACGAGTGAGTGGTATGGGGACCATTTCCTGGCTACAAAAGTAGCTTACCTGCCATTGTTTCATTTAGCAGCGTTGGCTATTACTGAACACCGCTTATTCAACCAATGCAACTTGCGTGATGTAAAAAATAGTCAACATCCACAGGCAAAGTGAGGAGTCGGGATCAGATCACGGAAATCGTCTGTGATTTTTTTCCATCCAAAATGGCGCACATTTCGTGACACAATGACGTCATTTCGACATGCCTCCAAGCATCTTTCAGGTATCTATCCAGGCCCCCAACCATCCATCCATCTTCTTCGATGAGGTTTAATGGCGGTTGGCATTCAATAAATGTTGCATTACCGCCACCAACTAAACTGGAGTATATCTCCCTTATACTTGGCTTGGATTTTTTAAATAAACCAACAAATACTCTACCATCTAACCCAACGCTCATTAAAAACCCACCACCCTACTACACTAAATCTATGAAGTCGTACCTCAGGCCAACAGCCTGAAAGGATGGGACACCACCACTCAACACACCCTGTAACTCTTCTGACATCAAATCTCGTACACCCAAATACTTCTCTGCAACTGCCACCACAATCTAAATTTTCTGTGACTTACTGTACGTTCCATCCCTGCAGTACAGTTGATAACCATTGCTATAAACGCAAAACAATCAAATCTTACTGAAGCATATATCACTTGTTGGCCTATCCCTCTGTACTGGCACAGATCTACTACTCACACCACTCTTCTCAGGATCCCTCCCCCTAGACCCATCTTCCTCTACTTTCTTCACTGCCTCAGCATGCGACAACTTCTGCACTACTCTAACCCTGAAAACCTCAACCTGCTTCTCTCTCACCTGACATTTCTGATCACCAGCCCCATGGGCACCCTACAATTAACACATACTGCCTCTTTCCCCAATGTTACACATACCTTTGTCTCATGCCTTTCTGAACACTTCTCACACCTAGGATAAGCTTGACACCTGTAACAACGCAATGTATTCGGTACAAAAGCTTGTACGGGATATCTGATATATCCTAACATCACTTTGTTGGGCAACGACTCAACATAAAAAATGAAAAAAACGACTCTTCTGTTTCTCCACTCAGGCCACCCTGTCTGCATCACACCAAACGACGAGCATCACAAACACCGGGAATCTTCCCCTTCAGTTGGTCCACTTTCACATTTACCACTACCCCAGTAATCAATCCTTTCAATGGCACCTTTTTCTTGAGAACAAAACTATTCACATCTCTTGTCCCCAGTCGTTTTACACGGAGCGCCTGCTCCCAGAAACACAAACAATTATCACAAGACCACTTCAAGTTACCTTTACCGATTCCACAGCACCTAACTCTGTTTTCACCCACCCTGAAACCACAAAAGGCTTAAAGGCAAGGGTCCACTTTTTCCAAAAATGTCACTCCTATCATCACAGACTCATCTTTATCCTGACCATCGGTGCAAGCTTCGGGCTCCGAGAACTTCACCACACCTACCACCTCTGATACTTCGCCCTCATTCACTTCCATTTCTCCTCCTGTATTCGATCCGGTGTACAGCTCACTCTGCTTACACTTTCTACCATTATTCTTTAACAAACCATCTCCCTTTTTTCCAAAAAAATGTACCATTTGAAGATCACCCTCTTCCTCCCTCTCTCTCCAACCTCCTCTGCCTCTCTTTTTCCCTCCATTCCTCCTCCACAATCCAAGTATATGTCTCCTTATGATAATACTACACTTCTCCTGACATACATCTTCTTGTGCTCTTGCTCTCTCAAGGAACACGATTTCCCGCTCGCTCCAGCCCTCCTCTCAGTTCCATCCTCCCATCCATCCATCCCTAACTGTAGGCAGTTTTGTCTGTCTTAGAGTCATTTAGGCTCAGCCCTACTCCTTGCAACTTCGCTGAGACAACAGAAAAACTGGATTGATCCAAATTGATCCTCATCCCTAATGTTGATGACTGAATTGAAGTGCAATGTATGGTTGTACATTTAAATGTAACCTAGGCCTACCTTTAAGTGTTTGTAAAGCAATTCAAGTAAAAAAAAAGTGTCTGTAAAGCACATTACTGATAACCTGAAATGGTCCTTCCGCACAGACAGTGTGAAGAAGGCGCCCAGTTCCCTGCCCTGAACTTTAGTGTCACTGTTACTAGCCGGCTACCACCCTGTACTTAACCCTGCACCTTAGAGACTGCTGCCCTTTGTACATAGTCATTGAACACTGGTCACTTTAATAATGTTTACATACTGTTATACCCACTTCACACACAGGTACACATGGATTTTGTACTGTAATAATAATAATAATAATAATAATAATAATAATAATAATATGCCATTTAGCAGACGCTTTTATCCAAAGCAACTTACAGTCATGTGTGCATATATTTTTACGTATGGGTGGTCCCGGGGATCGAACCCACTACCCTGGTGTTACAAGCGCCATGCTTAGATATGTGGTAGTGGTGGAGTAGGGGCCTGAGGGCACACAGTGTGTTGTGAAATCTGTGAATGTATTGTAATGTTTTTAAAATTGTATTAACTGCCTTAATTCTGCTGGACCCCAGGAAGAGTAGCTGCTGCCTTGGCAGCAGCTAATGGGGATCCATAATAAATACAAACACAACTATGTATGTACTGTATTTTAGTCAAGGCTCATCCTATATAACTACTGCTGGACACATGTTTTCTATTCATATACTGTCCATAATATCTACAGTATACAAGCCATCAAATACAGTGAGGGAAAAAAGTATTTGATCCCCTGCTGATTTTGAACGTTTGCCCACTGACAAAGAAATTATCAGTCTATAATTTTAATGGTAGGTTTATTTGAACAGTGAAAGACAGAATAACAACAAAAAAATCCAGAAAAACGCATGCCAAAAATGTTATAAATTGATTTGCATTTTAATGAGGGAAATAAGTATTTGACCCCTCTCAATCAGAAAGATTTCTAGCTCCCAGGTGTCTTTTATACAGGTAACGAGCTGAGATTAGGAGCACACACAGAAGCAATCAATCAATCAGATTCCAAACTCTCCACCATGGCCAAGACCAAAGAGCTCTCCAAGGATGTCAGGGACAAGATTGTAGACCTACACAAGGCTGGAATGGGCTATAAGACCATCACCAACAGTTGGTGCGATTATTCGCAAATGGAAGAAACACAAAATAACTGTCAATCTCCCTCGGACTGTGGCTCCATGCAAGATCTCACCTTGTGGAGTTGCAATAATCATGAGAACGGTGAGGAATCAGCCCAGAACTACACGGGAGGATCTTGTCAATGATCTCAAGGCAGTTGGGACCATAGTCACCAAGAAAACAATTGGTAACACACTACGCCGTGAAGGACTGAAATCCTGCAGCGCCCGCAAGGTCCCCCTGCTCAAGAAAGCACATATACAGGCCCGTCTGAAGTTTGCCAATGAACATCTGAATGATTCAGAGGAGAACTGGGTGAAAGTGTTGTGGTCAGATGAGACCAAAATCGAGCTCTTTGGCATCAACTCAACTATCCGTGTTTGGAGGAGGAGGACTGCTGCCTATGACCCCAAGAACACCATCCCCACCGTCAAACATGGAGGTGGAAACATTATGCTTTGGAGGTGTTTTTCTGCTAAGGGGACAGGACAACTTCACCACATCAAAAGGGACGATGGACGGAGCCATGTACTGTCAAGTCTTGGGTGAGAACCTCCTTCCCTCAGCCAGGGCATTTAAAATGGGTCGTGGATGGGTATTCCAGCATGACAATGACCCAAAACACACATTTTTACATTTACATTTTAGTCATTTAGCAGACGCTCTTATCCAGAGCGACTTACATTTAGTGAATACATTATATATTTTTATTTTTATTTTTATAATGGCCCCCCGTGGGAACACGGCCAAGGCAACAAAAGGAGTGGCTCAAGAAGAAGCACATTAAGGTCCTGGAGTGGCCTAGCCAGTCTCCAGACCTTAATCCCATAGAAAATCTGTGGAGGGAGCAGAAGGTTCGAGTTGCCAAACATCAGGCTCGAAACCTTAATGACTTGGAGAAGATCTGCAAAGAGGAGTGGGACAAAATCCCTCCTGAGATGTGTGCAAACCTGGTGGCCAACTACAAGAAACGTCTGACCTCTGTGATTTCAAACAAGGGTTTTGCCAACAAGTACTAAGTCATGTTTTGCAGAGGGGTCAAATACTTATTTCCCTCATTAAAATGCAAATCAATTGATAACATTTTTGACATGCGTTTTTCTGGATTTTGTTGTTGTTATTCTGTCTCTCACTGTTCAAATAAACCTACCATTAAAATTATAGACTGATCATTGCTTTGTCAATGGGCAAACGTATAAAATCAGCAGGGGATTAAATACTTTTTTCCCTCACTGTACATATATATTTATATTCTGGACATTGCTCATTCTAATATTTATATATTTCTTATTTTTATTTGGGGGGGGATTTGCTTGTATTGTTTTGTATTGTTTGGTATTACTGCACTGTTGGAGCTATGAACATAAGCATTTAGCTACACCCAGGAAAACATCTGTAAAAATTGTGTAGGCAACCAATAACATTTCATTTGATTTGGCTACTGCTGTTAGAGCCATTTTGGTAGACAAAAATGTTTTTTAAATAATATTATGGAATGAAATAAATGTGTATGAAATATATAATATATTATTTTGGAATGAATAAATATGTTTATAAGAAACAACTTTTTATTTGTTTATTGTGACACCTGGTGGTTACCTGTATTGCACCAGCAGTGTCAACATGGCTCCAGTCAGTAATTAAAGGCCCAGTGCAGTCAAAACGTGATTTTTCACAGTATTATTCCAACCTCAAATTGTGGAAAAAGGAGACCTTTTCTGCTACGTGGTCAAACTGATATCGGAGGTGCTTGGTGTGGATGTATCACCGGAGGATCTGGGGCGATGCCATCGGATCGGCGTGAAACAGAAGAACGCTAAATACCCTTTGCATGGTAATCTTTAAGCTGTGGAACTATTAGACTAAAGTCAACATTCTGAAGGCACAGGGTG